CTTTCTTTGACCATGAGCAAGGTGCTTGACCTCCCTGAGACTTAGTTTCCTCATCTGTGAAATGGGACCATGGTCCTGCCTAACTCATAAGCTGTTTATGAGGATCAGATGAGAGGTAAGTTGTAAGCACATGCGGTTAGTTGCAAAGGGCATGTACATGTGAGGATTGTCAGCAGCTCCCTGCGTGCATTAAAACCTCTCCAAGTTCTTGGCTGCGTGAGGGGACTCAGCGGGCCACTCGGCCTGGTGTGAATCATCAAGAACGAGGGCTGCGATGACCACAGCTGAAACCTTCTGTTCAGACAGTGAGGAGTATGGAAACCTTGTCCCATGAGGGACCTGGATTCCTGACCTGACTTGGCCATTTCCAAAATACCCAGTGGACTCGTTGAGAATATTTAAATTGTTCTGTGTGGGTCCCAGTCATAGCCAAGTGCCAAAAGGGTTAGTAGAGGTGGTAGATTTCAGCTCAGTCTTTGGATAAATTTCCCCCCACCAAGGAAATGGCATCTGAGGAAGTAATGAGTTCTTGGTTCCTGGAGGCTTCAGAGCCTGGCCATCTCCCAGGAGGCTGAGTTCCCTCCTTCCTTCTCTGAGGTTCTAGCGGGGGGTTGGGGGGGGGCGAGGAGGGGTCCTGGCAGCCTCTCCCAGCCCTAGTCCCTGGTGCTTACCCTATACCTCTGAAACCACCACTCAGAAACCACCTTCTTCAGTGCCTGTAAACACCAGGAAGGCCTTATCATGCTCAGGGTTGGTTTGTTGGTTTGGTCTCCACCAGAGCACTCAGCCCCACAGTCCTCCTTGTTCCATCTCCTCACCTGAGGATTCTTGACCCCCTGGGCTCATTAACCCTCAAGCCCTTTGGGGGCAGTTCCAGAATCTCCCTGTCCAAGGTTTGGGTTTCAGGGTCCCTAAAGCCCTCAGAAATGCCCCTGTCAGGGTCAGTGTTAGCCCAGTCAAGGCAGAGCTCCTATAGGAGGGCCGCTGGTGGGAGCCTCCAGCACATTCTCTCCTAAGGAGTGGCACCCAGAGCCCTGAGAGAGGAGGGGAGCAGGAGCCGGCTCCTGTGCAGCACTCTGTGGTTGTTCCTGCGCACGTGCTCACCGACTTCTCCCACTATTACATAACGGAGGTGTTCTCCCCTTCTTATTTTAGATCCTGGTACCATCTGCCCTGGTTTTCATGCATCACTAGCTCCAGGCTGCAGGTTAGATCTGGCTTGGCCGCCCAGCTCTATCCCTCACTTGGTGAGAGACTTAGAGTTGTCTGTTTCCTTTGGTATAAAATGAGATTCTGGCTCCACCCTCCCTACCTCCCAGGGCTGCTGTGAGAATCGGGGGAGAGGAAGGGGTGAACTGTCTGTGTAATGTGCTCAACTATACAGATGTCCCTGGTTGTTACCTGGCAGCCTGAGCCTGGTGTCACCTGAGCTGGGGGGGTTGGGGGGGGGAGGGGGCTTCTGCTTGCTCACGCCCACACCTGCACCAGGTTTGCAGAGCTGGGCCCTGTCGTCTCCTGAGCTGAGGGGGGTGGGGGGCCTCTGCTTGCTCATGCCCACACCTGCACCAGGTTTGCAGAGCTGGGCCCTGTTTGAAATACAGGAAGTGAGCAGGCCACACAAGGGGGGAATCTTTGGCAGGCCCCCTGCTGTGGGCAGCAGGGGCACAGCCCAAGCAGCTTGTGGCCGGCAGGGCCAGGCAGCCTGTCACCTGCTCACAGTGCCTCTTGGCCCAGGGTGGACTGTCAAGCACATGCACTCTGTAACAAGGCATTGTCAGGAGGTCAGTGCAGGCTGACAGCAGGCCATGGGACCCACGGACAGAGGTACTACTGGGCAAAGTCTGGGGTGCAAGCTGAGTCTCGCCTGAGGCCCCTCCCACAGTTAGAGGTTTTGTCTACCTGCTTTCCCTCCTCTTGCCTGAGGCACCAATTGAGGCCCTGGACTGAGAGCCACTGGCTGAAGGTCACACCACAGGGGTGCACAGCAGGACCGGCAGAGGGTACTGGATGCTCTCCAGCCTCACAGGCCCTGAGGAAGATCAAATGAGATCATGAATGCTTGGTCCCTGGCCCAGGGACCTGCTGACTGGGAGATGGGAGTGTCCGTCAAGGGGCCCAGGCTAGTCCTACTGGCCGGAGACAGTGGGAGAAACATCAAGCCTCACTGACCCAGGGAATCCTTCCAAGGGGTGGATGCTGGAGACAGTGCTCCTCTCCAAGGCAGCGCCTGGACAGTAGGACTGGACAGTGAGAGCCGGTGGCAGCCTTTGGAAGGTTTCGTCTCTCCTCTCAATCCCACAAGAAGGGGCAGCTCTCTGCAGACAATCAGTGAGGGCCTAGGTGTCTGCTGACCCTGACCCACCCAGTTCCCAGGGCTGTTGGGGCCGCAGGGTCAGTGATGGTGGACAGCAGCACTCCGGGGACTGTGACACTAAATAATTCACTTCCCCTGTTGAGAACCACCACCTCTGTTCTGCCCACCTCAGCCGACTCTTGTGAGGATCAAAACCAGACTCTGCACCTCAGTAGGCACTAAGCTGCCAGAACGTGAATGGTAAATGTGAGGTTTTAATTAGTACTGAGGTTATCTGGAGGGGAGGTTCTCTGGGGTTTTCAATCACAGGGACAAAAATTAAAACTCAGGCAGCCTGCAGGCCAGCCCAGCAGTTCTAGCTTTCTCCTGGAGAACCCAGCAGACTTGGATGCAGCTTCTCCAGTGTTCATGTTACTGCTGACCCCAGCTCTGAGCGTGAGACCATCTCCCCCACCTGCTAGATCCTAGCTATCCATGCATTCCTTTTCCTTTAATAAAATTAAGCACGAGCCTTAGCTGATTTGGCTCAGTGGATAGAACATTGGCCTGTGGACTGAAGGGTCCCGGGTTCGATTCCAGTGAAGGGCACATGCACGGGTTACGAGCTCGATCCTCAGTAGGGGGTATGCAGGAGGCAGCCGATCAATGATTCTCTCTCATCATTGATGTTTCTATCTCTCCTTCTCCCTTCCTACCTGAAGTCAATAAAAAAATATTTTAAAAAAATTAAGCATGAAAATAAAAGATGTGAAAATGCAATTCTGAAAGGCAAGCTCTGTGAGACAAAAGGACCTTAGTGTTATGTAAACATGATGGCCATCACATGTCCCTCTCTGGGCTCTACGGCATTTCAGACCTGCCTGCCCTCACTGTCATCCCTGCAGGCCTCTCGGCCTCACCTTGCAGAAGGGAGCTGGGACAGGGCACCCCTGACTGAAGACAGGGGACAAAGGGACACAGGCAGGGTGAATTTGCTCATTGTGGGATCTGCTTTCCCTTGGCACTGCCTGAGCCCTGTGGTCAGTCCCAGCTGCCGAGGTCCTTCTGCCTTCTCCTAGCATCAGCTCCACATTGAAGCCAGATAGCTACAGAGCCGCGGGAGCTGTTTCTAAAGGGCCTTGTGTCTTTGTGCCAGTGGGCATCACAAACCCTTTGAGACCTCAGGCTTGAGTGGAAACTCCCAGCCGTGAGCACAGGGTGTTCTGGCTGCGGGTGCAGTGCGCCCTCTTGTGGCCGGCATGGCCCTTCCAGGGAGGACGGAAGTGCAGTGCTGTGATTGGCGAGGCTTGGCACTCAGGATCCTGTCCTAGGCCTGCAGCCACCTGGAGGAGGGTAGTGCCTGGTTTAGGTCCGAACATCCAGGCCCTGGGAAATTTCAAGCAGGGCAGCCTTCAAACCCAACTCCAAGAAATGATGACAGACAGCCATTCAGTGACCTGACTTCTTAATTAAAAATAAGGCCACAGCCCTCGCCTGTGTGGCTCAGTTGGTTGGGAGTCATCACATGCACCAGGAGGTTTGGGTTTGATTCCTGGTCAAGGGCACATGCCTGGGTTGTGGGCTCAATCCCTGTTAGGGAGCATGCAGGAGGCAGCCAATCAATGTTGTGCTCTTACATCTATGTTTCTCTCTCCCCCTCTCCCTTCCTCTCTCTCTAAAAATCAATAAATCATTCTTTTTAAAAAAGATAAGGCCACAGTAGAAAGGAAAGCCATCAATTAAGGCCACCCTGAGCCCTACAGAACAGGTGTGTGTGTGTGTGTGTGTGTGTGTGCATGAATGTGTGAGTGTGAACACCACATGAGATAGACAGAGACTTGCCCCACCCTGGGGGAGAGGGTGCCACAGTGCCTGGCCTTTGCACCATAGCTCCTGCCAAGGATGCCTCAGGGGTTCTACTCCATGCAAAACTAATCAGACCCAAACCAGAAACGCTCTCTTAGCCAAAGAGTACCTCTCACTTAGTCTGTCCTAAGTCTTAAAAGAGGTTGGAGAAATCTCAAATGTAAATCTCCACAACATCCCACTCCCTCCACAGTCAGTTCTGAACTCTGGCCACACACACCGGCACCATGGACATGCAGAAAGGTGCACCGTGGGCACACGAGGCTCAGGCGAGGTCACAGAGCTGGACCCAGAGCGCCCTGGAACACAGAATGTGAAGCGGTTCTACAGCAGTGACAGGAACACGTGGCCTGGACCATCCACAAGCAGTAAAAGGATTATGCATGTATCCTCTCTGGGCTGCAAATTCTGTGTGTACAAAAGAAAAGAATCTGTCCCCTTACTCCTGAGACTGGCTTAAGGATCAAATGAGATACATTTTTTGAACGGGGTTTCGGCTTAAAATGTAAAATACTAGGATTCTGTTTTATAATAAATCTATTTTTAATACAAAGATACTTCCCCCAAATCTTTGTATGAAATCAACTCCAGAAACACAGAGGCACCATGTTTGCCCTGAAGTTTAGGGGCCCTGCCCACCACTCCGCACCCAATGGAAGAGGCCCAAGCCACTCACTGTGCACCCGAGTCAGGCTGGGCTACCCGTTTCGGTTGATACTAAAACTGGTAGTGGGTCCTCCGGGGATGGTGGACAATCCACAAGTGAGTAATGAAGAGGTGACTACATAAGGTCCTTCCTTCCTCCCTCCCTCCCTCCCTCCCTCCTTCTTTTCTTCGGTTGATACTAAAACTGGTAGTGGGTCCTCCTGGGATGGTGGACAATCCACAAGTGAGTAACGAAGAGGTGACTACATAAGCTCCTTCCTTCCTCCCTCCCTCCCTCCCTCCCTCCCTCCTTCTTTTCCCTCCCACCCACCAGGGCTCCCGACAGAGGCCAGCTAGAAACTCTTCAGTGTATGTAGATCCTGTCGGAGATCGCTCCAGGCAAGTGGGTCATGATCTGCATTCGCAGCCACCAGTAGTAGTCCATGGGATGGTAGCGGGTGTAGGGGTTGGCGGCGGTCAGGGCGTGGGTGATAGCGTTGATGACCGGGGTCGTGTCGGTGGAGCCACTGTTGCAGTAGGTCTCCATGGCGGCGACCTTCTCATCAAAGTACTTCTTGCCGTAGTCCTTGCGCACCACCTCGGGCAGCTCATCCCACATCTTATTGGCGATGGCCTGGATGCCCTCGGCGCTGTAGAGGCTGGTGGCAGCGATGAAGTTGCCGGGTTCCACCACACAGACCTTCACACCCAGAGGGTGCATCTCGTAGCGCAGGCAGTCAGAGAAAGCCTCCACCCCGAACTTGGTGATGCAGTACGGGGAGCGGGCCGGGTTGGCCATGCGGCCCAGCATGCTGCTGATGTTGACCACACGGCCTACAGAGGAAGACAGCAAGCACTGCTCAGGGGGCATTGCCTGGGGAGTGAGGGGATGGTGGTGGCAGAGGGCCTGGGGCCTGGCATGTTTCCAGAGACCTGGCTAGAACCTGGCCTCCTGGCCCCTCATACTTATTTTGCTGCCTGCCAGGCTGGGGTCCAGCCTGCACCACACAAGGTCTGAGGGCCTTCTCATTCATCGTCAAGGCCAGCTCCCACCCACACATCAGGATCAACATCCCTGACATTTTCCCAGCAGCCAGCCGTGCTGGGCAGGACAGAGGAGGAGAAATGAGTGAGAAGCAGAGCTGCATACCAGGAGGGCACAGTAAAACGCACAAAACACAACTAAGCTGTGTCTCACCTCCCACATTCTCCCATTGTATTTCCCCCCAAAATGCTATTACCTGGCAGTGCTCTGTTGGCGAGCAGGGAGGGGCAGGGGCGGGGGCAGGGGCAGGGTTCTGGACCTGACTTCAGGGCTGGGACATGTGGGCAGAGTCTCGGGCACTGGGAGAGAGTGATGACCTCAGAAGGCTCTCCCCAGCTAGGTGTGCCAGACCACAGCTTCTCCCAGCCCTGGGGGCATGGAAGAGGCAGAGCCCATCCAGACAGACAGCCCGGGCAGACCCAGGACCCACTCACCCTGGGTGTGCGCCCAGGAAAAGGCACAGCCTCATCCTGGGCATTGTGGGAGGCTCCCTTCATAAACCTCTAAACTGGAAGGCACTGAAGTGTTGCGGTCTTCTTCTAAAATCCCACAGCGCTCTCTGGGTTCATCCTGTCGTTGCTGGGCCCTCGGGATAGATCACATGGATCTTCCCCTTTTTGCCATAATTGTTTGTTCTTCTAGGGAGGACATGTGAATCGGTGGCTTCTAGGTGGTTTACTTACATTGGCTCCTAACATGGTTTGGGCATGTGGTCTGTACACAAGGGTGGCTGTTCCTCCAGATTAGGTTCCCAGAGTGGGATTTGCTGCAGAGAAGGCTCTATTTTCTGAAAAACCACACATCCCTTTCCGCCTGCCAGGCCACACCACCTCCGCTCAACACCACCCACAGGCCCCCACAGGGCCCCTGGGAGATGTTGGATCTGCTGAGACCTATTCCCATTCTGAGCAAAGATGAAAAGGTGGGGCAGGTCCAGGGGTCATGAGGAAGGTCCCTTTCCAGCTCACCTTTGGCCCTTCGGATGAGGGGGAGAAAGGATTTTGTCGTCCGCACTGTGCCCCAGAGGTTCACTTCCGCCACCTGCTTGTAAGTCTCCATGCTGGTGAACTCCACCTCCCCGAACGTCGAGATGCCCGCGTTGTTGACCAGGCCCCACATACCTGGTTGGGAGGGAACAGAACGGAGGTCACCACATGGGCTAGATCACCCATCAGCCTGCAGCCCGCTCCCCTCCTCACTTTCATCCTTTTCCCCATGACTTGCCAGCTTTGTGCCCAAGGCTCTCGGGACACCTTCTAGACTCAGAGTCACCAAAGAAAACAGGAGACAGTGCTGGCTGTAACCCTCCCTTAGATCTACCACCAAGCCTTATATTTCTTCTGCCTTAACTGAGTCTCTGGGCCCATCATGCCCAGCCCTGCCGGTGCCCCAGCCTGGAGTCCCACCTCACCTCACACACTTCCACTCTCTTCCAGCCAGTCTCACCCCACACTCTGCACGGGGCACTGTGCAGTCATCCCTGCCTCTGAACTTCCCGTCTTGCCAGAAGCCAAGGGAACCTCAGGAGTCTTCCAGGCCAAGCCTCTCTGGAAGACCAGAGAGGGGACCCAGCGTCCAATGTCACACAGCCAGTAAGAGGCTCGGTCAAGCCTTGATCTCGGGTTGGGCCTCCATCCTGCTTCACCCTGAGACCCAGCTAGCAATGACGCCATGCTCCGACCTCCCTTCTCTGAACCATGCACTGGTGCTGGTTATCATGTGGCAAGCCACGGTGACCCGGTAACCTGTTCCTCAATACCCCAGGTGTGTACACCTGGCCTGTGCAGGTAGAGGACACCCCTCAGCCTTGTGTGGTCCCACAGGTACAGGGTCGGAGCAAATGGACACTCACCCAGGATACTTGCGCTGGCTATTTCCAGTAAAACCAGCAACGGGGCAGCTGGCTTTTCTAGACACAGAACGCTGGTGCTAGAAGGCTCCTTGGAGGTCACGTCGTCTGATATCTTATTTCAGAAACAGGGATACGGACCCCTGGGGAAAGGACTGGCTGCAGTGCCCAGTACGTTAGAGGCAGAGCCTAACTGGGGAGGTGGCAGTGAGGAGGCAGTCGCGTTTTGCACACCCTCTTTGAGTTCTGTTTTTTGGGGTGCAAGGACTGGATGCGCTAGAGCCTCAGGACAGAACAGGCCCTGCCTCTTTTTTTTTAATTTTTTATTTATTTTTTAAATTGTTTTATTGCTTAAAGTATTACAAAGAGTATTACATATGTCTCCCTTTTTTTCCCGCCCTTGACAATCCCTTGGCCTCCCCTACCCCCCAGTGTCTTATGTCCATTGGTTATGCTTATATGCATGCATACAAGTCCTTTGGTTGATCTCTTACCCCTCCCTCCTGCCCCCCAACCCTCCCCGGCCTTCCCGCTGCAGTTTGACAGTCTGTTCGAGGCTGCTCTGCCTCTGTATCTATTTTTGTTTGTAAGTTTATAATGGTCTTTATTATCCATAAATGAAGGAAAAATACCACATGATCTCAGGCCCTGCCTCTTTGTTGTGGAAACCCTCAGAGTTCAGTCTCAGGGAAGCACTGTCCAGGCCCCCTGCCTGTGGGAACTCTGGCCCCACCTGCTTTCTGAGTTCATCTTGGAATTTGTGTAAATGACAGAGTAATTGGTCTCTGGCTGCTCCCTTCCGTGCTACCCAAATTAACACTTCATCAACTGACCTCTGGTGCCTTCTCCTTCAATTATGGGAAATTAAGGACATTTATTAGGGAAAGGAAATTGCTGGTTAACGAAGTCCTCATGAAGTTCTCACTCCCACTCGCCGAAAGCTAAAGCCTGGCTCTCAGGTCTTACCGAGGACCTTGCAATGACTCAGCCAGGACACCCCCCCACAG